AAGACGAAGATGATTTTTCGAGTTTTAAATTCGATTCGAATTATAACGTGTGTTGATTTGCACTTTAAAAAAACATTTCGCGCGTACGTCGAGCGTCTCATCAGCTTCTCTTATTGGAGAAAACTGATGTTCGCGAATCGCACGAAAAAAAAAAAAGACATTTAATTGAAACGAGAGAAAGAGAGAGAGAGAGAGAGAGAGAGACAGACATCGGATGGAAGTACCTATTCTAGGCGGAGAGCGCCGGTAGTTGTTACTGTGTATACGCGAGCTACGTCACATCCGCATTTGCGTTAATCTGGCCTGGTCGGGCGACTTGGACGAAACGTTTCCAACGCACGCGAAACGAAGCGCTCCGCGCTTTTTAGCTTCAAAGTGGAAAAGCTTCGATCGGCGCGCGAGCAAAACCAGGGTTTTTAATATTAATATCAACGTCTATTATTATTCGTTCGCGATTCCACTCACAAAAATACACGCGTGATTTCTCTAAGCGTGAAAGAAAAAAAAAAAAAACGAAACAAAAGAGCCGTATAATTTTGTCTCGCGAGATATTCCCGACATATGTTTTTCTATATCTAATCGCAAAATAGTAACGGTGCTTTGACCGATATTGTTACCTCACTCCCCCCTTCCTAAGCGCTTCTTATTGTACCACTCGAAACCGTAAAACGTCCGTAACGATTACGTAAATCCCGAGGAGAATAAAATGACGATCATCATCGCGGATAAAAAAAGCGAGATACAGTTAGAGTTGAATGCTTGATGATGATGATGATTTGACTCGCTGCGCGTTGACGCACGCGTGCGCGAAAAACAGAGACGATTACGGCCTCTGTTTCTAATTTCGTTTCCTTTTAAAAGGAGAGACACAGGCGGACTGCAATTTCTTTTTCAACGTTAAACAGAATATTTACATAATTATTGAAAATGCAAATTATTGCAACATATTTATAAATGCGACGTTAACCGATAATTAAAAGCACTTGAGAAAATATTTAAAACATTGACAATGTTACGTTTAATATTTACATATCTACAAGAAAAAAAAAAAAAACAACGTAGCAGGAAAAATTTGCTAAACCTAATGAATTTTTTGTTTCACCAGCAAAACGTTTTGTTGCAAATAACGTTGCCAAGCAATGAGAATTTAATAGGATTGGCGAAAATTTTTCTTCCTGTCAATGAGAGGTAACTAATTTTTTTGCTGTTCAAGCGACTTTTTTTTGTAGTAATTATTTCTTTAATAAACGCCGCTCTCACAATTTCGTCATGTTTGGCCTATTTTTATTTCTAATTAGATTTATCTCGAATTGCTTTATCGAGATAGGTAGTTTGTCTCGCGCACAAATCGCTCTTAAATCGTTTCGGTTTCGCGTGCGACAAGCTTTGTCTCTGAAAAAAAAAAAAATCGAAAGATTGCGCGTGCATAATCCGTGAACGCGCCTCGAAACTAGGTTGCATCGAACCCTAGCCGGAAGCGCGTGTGCGGCTTGTTTAAAAAATCGATATCAAAGACAGGTAATTAAGTCGTTGCAGAGAAGGACGACGACACGATTGCCTCGTCTATAAAAAGAAGATGCGCGACGAGAGCGGCATCGGATATAAACAACAATAGCCGGAGATTTCGCTCCGCTAAAAAAAATCGCAGATTACACACTACGCGCACACACGTCGCGTGCGATATAACGAGATCTTCTCCCGAGGCTTCGTTCAGGTATTTTTTTCGTTCCGAAAGTGCGACAAAAGCGAAAGAGAGCGAGAGAGATTAGATTATCCAATAAACACATTTCCAGGAACGCGCGCGAGTTCGTACGCGCTTCGCGGAATCGACGGAAAAAACAGGTGTCAAACGGAAAATATCGATCGACGTGGTGCATTGCAGCTGCGAAAAACGTTACTTATCACACGTAAAGTAAAAAAAAAAAAAAACGTCTTATCGCTCCAAGCACTAAAAACAACCACACCCGTTAAAATGACGGACTTCAAATTACCACCGATCTCTATTTGCAAGAAATTGTTCCGAGTGTTTTTATTCTAATAACAAGAAAAAAATTAATAAAATATTATAAAAGTTTGTGTTTTTTAATAGACTATTTAAAGATATTAAAAACCTAACAAATAATCAAACCAAAATGGTTCTTTCAAATACGATTCGGTCGAATCGACGAATGTGGTGAGAGCAGACGCACACTCTTGGTTGTTCCGGTGTTAAATAATTTAGACGCGTAATGGTTGCTAAAAAAAAAAACAAACAAGTAATAATAATAATAAAAAAAAAAAAAAAAACTTACACGGTAGGTCACGCAACTAGTGGCTCGATTCTTACAAAACTGCACGAACGCGGTGGTTCTGCACACACGTGAACACAGGTTGTGCTATTGAATATCTGTGTTCGGATCAAATTCGACCTCACTGCACCGCGTTCGTGCGCGCGATAATTAATATTGATACGTATCACGTTGCCCGCCGTTGTCTTTTTGTCAAGTTTCGCGCGCGCGAGTTACGTCGTGAAAAGAAAAAAAAAAAAAACACACTCCGCGAGTTGACTTCTATTTTCCGAACACTTGTCTCTCTTGCAAACTTATACAATACAAAAAAGATGATGATGACATCATTGGGAGCAAATAGACGAACCGCCTGATCGATGCAATGTCACGTGTGTGTTTTATGCATCACAGTCCGATTGAATTACTTGATCTCTTATTCGGGAAGAGACGAACTATAATTCGCGCGGGCAAAGAGCGACAGAGAGGAAGAACGCGAACACTTCTCGGAACTTCGGCTAAATATAATGTATGTATGACCTGTCTTCTCTCTCTCTCTCTCTCTCTCTCTCTTTTTCTCTTTCTCTTTCTCTCTCTCTGTATAACTTATTGTTCGCGTGACATTTTCTACACGCGCGACAACAAATCGAGAGAGAGAGAGAGAGAATTCGACCTTTGCTTCCTACAACGTGTGAAAAAACTTTTCTTGTCCGAACCGAACAATTGCGTCAATCAAAATTCACTAATTACGAACAGGTTGAAAGAGACTGCAATTTCTGGCGCGACACTGTTCGACGCTCGCGGCTAGAGAAACTTCCCCGGAACGTGTCATTGAGCATTTGACGTGGTAAAAACAAAAAAAAATAAAATAAAAACAAATGTAGATCACACGCGTCGAGGTGCAATGAAATCCGAACTTTCGCTGAAGCGAGAGATAACGTGACGCGTCACACGTTATTGTGTGTATTACGTCGAGGCTCTGTGCCTAGATAATAACCGCGCGCGTAATCGCTAAAGTAAGAATACTCGACCGTGTTGTTTTCAGTCGCTTCGTTATTGTCATTCAGTGATAGTTACAAACCTTGCGACCAGTGTTCCAACATTGTCGGTCTCTATTGTTGTACAATACCGCGCAATCCGACTTGTACCTTTGAACCTCTTTACGCGCATGTTTATTGAACGAATGATGGAGCACAGTCGTGTTTCTTTACGTTAAAGTACAAGGCGAGATGACGCGTTTGCTTGTTGTTACTTATAATAACTCGCAAACAGAAATATTATTATTACAACACATTCGATTATTCAACTAAATATTGAAGTTGACACAAGTGCCACTAGTGCCGAGTGGACGTGCAAATATACAATATTTTTTTTTTTTTTTTTTTTTTAAATTAACACACATGAAAATTCGAATCAACTTTAATTCGAAAACTAGCGACGATTTATTCGGTCGGTGCGGGCCAATGTGTTCGCGCGAAATATTTTTTTTTTTTTTTTATTTATTGAAACGTGCAAGAATACACAAAAATTTTAATACACGTGACGTCAGTTTTTCAATTGAAATTTTCATTTTCTTTCAAAAATTTATTGTGGAACGCTCGGTTTGCACATCTTATGTGTGTAAAATAAATTTAATTTACTTCTCTCTGTAAAAATTAAAAAACTTCCATTGTGCAAAAAAACATAATATATTATTATTATTTTAATATTGATAGAGTTTACTATTTTTTGTATAAATTTTTGTCATTGTGTTCTCAATAAAGATATTATTGTTATACTTCTCGCGCGATAAAATTTATTCCCGATATTTTCGGTATCACTTGTCGGGAAAAAAAAAAAAAATAAGTTACATCTCAAAATCTCCGACAAATCCAGGACAGGAAAGTGAGGCCGATTAATCCGCCATTTAACTTATTATTAACATATGCCGAAGACGTGTGTCGCGCACGTCCGCTGCACTGGCCGCTGTGTCATGACGTAACTGTAAACACAACATCCGTTTCGATTTTGATATCAAGTCACCTGTGTCGAGGACGTCGACAGGACAGGTGTACTCTTAAACACATCCATCCAGTTAAAGGTCAAGTGATATAACAGATTATCGATTGCGCACGAAGTCTCGGGATAAATCAAAAGATAATAAACGCCATTCGAGTTAAAAGGTCGTATCTTTTAAATCCCTATTGCTTTCTACGTTAGTAAACACTAGAAAATAGACAAACTCGGTGACGAGAGGCGCCGCCCAGATAAAAATTTCTGTTGTCAAAACTAAACACCAAAATAAACAACATGACAAATACACTCGCGTACGCGCCATAGTACAGCTCGAAAGTTTCTCTCGACCGAGTCTCGTTGTTTCGACGATAGAAATGGAAATCCGCCGTATCAATAAAAAAAAAAAAAAAACGGCAATTCGAAATTCGTCCAACTCGTAAATTTTGATCAACGCAAATAACACAGTCGAGACGCGAGTTTCGATGCGGTTTGGTCAAAACTCACCCGAGTTTTGCGCGTTCGCTTTGGCGAGCTGTCACGCAAAACACACCACGCGCGATAATGGAGCCAAGCGTTTGACTTTGTTCTTTTCTGAAGGATGAAACCCGACGACAAACGGGCAACATGACACCAACCGTGTCTCTATCTATGCGTCGTTTCGGATATTTATCAATCGCGCACGTCACATTTCGCTTTTGAAGTATCTTATACACTGCGGCAAAACAAAAAAAAAACACTTACCGAATTAGTACTGCACCCAAGTGTTTTACGTCAATGCGTCACAGTTCCGAACCGGAAGTGCCACTTTCCGGGGTTAATTCTCTCATTTTTTTTGTTTCGCACGGCCGAGAGAAACTCAAAGCGCGACTGGCTGCAACATTGAAGTGGCGGTGTCGACGCGGGCTAACTCGTCGACCTCAAACATTTCGCGGCATTTCGATGCCGCGCTCGATTCGGAGTCACCGACGACGAGTGACTCAGTTCTCAAATTCAACGCGATGTCGTGACGAAATCGCTTTTAATCGCCGCGTTTCGGCCGCGAAACGCAGCCGCTCCGATCATCGGCGATCGGAGTTGTCCGATGAATGATCGCCAAGTGGGAATCATTTACTCGGTCAAAAAAACAACAACGCCTTCTGTGTGCGCGCAAACGTGTGCAAGCGAATTTCGGAAGAGAAGACTCGCGAGCGAGATCGGGTTCACAGCGCAATCGCGGCTTGTAATTTTCTCGAAAGTTACACGTTTTCTCTTCCTCGCTTCTCGGGAGGCTTTAAACTTCCTTGACAAGTTAACGTCGTTGCGTGTACTCCCGAAATAGCGCGCGCGATCGTACGCGCTTCTTCTTCCACCCTTGCACTCGCAACGCACCGCGCACGCACGCGCTCGAGAGCGCGCGCACTCTCGCTTCCGCACACTCCGCTTCGAGAACGCGACGCGCGGCACTCTCGTCCGAAAAGACTGTGTGTGTGTGCGCGGCGCGAATCGAAAACGCCGATGCCGAGGCTCAAGCGTATGACGACCGCGCGAACCCGACCACTCGACCCGATTGCAATTCATTTGTTTTCTCCGGACGGTATACAGGAAACACTGTTATCCATCTCTCTCATCCTTAGAGATAAAACAACGGAAGCGGCAAGTGTGCACGCGGGTCTCTCAATAAAGATTATTTTTAAACTTGAATTTTGATATCAAGGAACGACATCAGAAATGTAATCAAACGTGAACATTTAAACATTTACGTAGAAATACACCATCACGAAACAAATATTTGATATTTTATTGCCGAAAAAGAGAATCCTCTGAATTTAATCATATATCCAAGTAAAAATATTAATGTTGAACATTGATGTCATTGTTGGTAAATATTTAATGGATTTAATATATATATAATTTTTATTAATTAAATAAATGAAAATTGTTGAATAAGTATATTTTAAATTAAGAAATAAAAATGTTTGAGAGCCAAATGCCAGATATGCAAAACATATTTTTGCGTATCCAGCATATGTAAATTAATACACTTGAAATTCAAACTAAAAATAATTTTAAAATTCATGTAAGAAGCAGCATCTTGTATGAATATGTCTTTTTAATTAATAAAAAATTAATAAAATACGTCTCTTAAAATACGTCGAGTTTTTAACATTTTTACTTAAATATATTATATCTTTAACGTGAAAATTTTCAATTTTAAGAAACTTTAGATTGAATAACAATTCTAAAATTTATAAGTAGAATTTATTTGCATAAGAACATATATATGAAGTTTAGATTTGTTCGAATTTGAATTTGTTTTACGTGTATTAATTTAAATATTGAAAATACATTTCGCGCGTGCATCCGGCGTTTGATTTTCAATCGTCCTACTTTTTTATTTAAATTTTTATACTTAAATACGCAAATATATTTTAATTAAATATATCACTAAACAAATATATATATTTTTGAGTTATAATTAAATTATTGTATACATATTGATATATTAATGATTGATTTCAGTGTCGTATATTTGCTCGCACACACTTTGACCTCTATCGATTAGTTGTTACTGCGGTGCAATATACCTTTATCGATTAGTTGTTGTCGCAAGTTAATTTTCGCATCGTTTTATTTGGGAAAACATCGCGTGAAAAAGAATTTACTGCCCGAGTCGTTTCGGGCGCATCGATCGCTCGGGTGAGCAAATTAAAAATCAGCGAAGATAACACGCAGAAAAACAGTCGAATTTATTTGCACGAAATAAATAAAAAAACAAGTCGAATCTCCGAGAGATCCGTTCGGTTCTAACGCGATTACGCGCGTGATAACGGGTCCTTGATAATTCTTATATAACTCTCTTTCTCTCCCTCTTCCTCCTTACTCTCTCTCTCTCTCTCTCTCTCTCTCTCTCTCTCTCTCTCTCTTGCCCAACAATCATAAAAGTCACAGAATTACTCGCGTATCGATCAATCCCCGTTCAATTCGGCCTCTACTCGACAATTCAGCAAATCTAATCTCGCGCGCCGCTGCAAGAACCGATTCACGGTCCTTTGCTCTGCGCGCACGTACGTCAAACGAGATTGCAGGCAGGTAAGTTACAAGGACGAGTTTATCTCGTTCGAAGCGCAAGAGATCGCTTTATTTGCCCCCCTCCCCCTCCTCTCCACGCCCATTGACATCAATTTAAATTTAACACCGCCAAGCTAGCAAAACGCGCGAGCGATCTGCTTCACGTTCGAGTAAGTCCCATCCTGATCAATTCGCATCCGCTCTCTCTCTCTCTCTCTCTCTCTCTCACTTACTCACTCTCTCTCTCTCTCTCTTTCCCTACCCGCTCTTCCTCTCTCGCTCGAATGTAATTTGCAAAAACAGCTTTCCGCCGTCCCGATTTTTTCTTCCTCTCCACTCTCGGAGCTTCGCCGATACGCGCGACACTTTGCGAGCGCGGCGGCGACGGCGACGGCGACGGCGGCGGCGGCGGCGAATGTACGTTACGTTGCTCGATTCGCGCTTCTCGGCGCGGAAAACGCCGGGAATTGGGTCACCGGCGGCGGCAGATAGGTCGTCTTGACAGGTGAACAAAACCCGCTGGCTGAGAGCGGCCGATCGGTGAAGCAGGAAGAGAGGAGAAAGAGAGAAAGAGGATGGGAGGGAGGGAGGAGGAGGAGGAGGAGGCCAACACCGCGGCGGAAATTAAAAGTCGGCCGATACACAACGACGCCGGGGCGATAGAGCCACGACGACGGAGGAGGAGGAGATGCCGAACCGGGTCGTCGGATCGAAATAAAGAGAAGTGGGCGATCGACAACGCCCCGCGAGAAGAGTTAAACCTCGACGTAAACGGACACGCACCCTGTCACGAGGAAGAAATTTTCAAGGGAAGTTTCTCCTCCCCGCGGACGGACGAACTCTCGATTCACACACGTTTTTTACGCAAATAAAACCGCGCGTACAAACGCGTACGCACAAACACGTTCGCCAGCGGCGGTGGGTCTCGCGATCGAGATAGCTGCTGCGGCAATCGATGCCGGTGGAGACTCCTAAACGCGGAGAGGATTCTCCACCACGACGACGACGACGACGACGCCGCCGCCG